GCACAGAAACTGAAGTACAAAGCCATCAGTGAGGAGCTGGACCACGCACTCAACGACATGACGTCCATGTGAGTACTCGTGTGTTTGAGACGCAGGCTAGTGTGTGTGATATTCTGTCTGACTGATGGTGTTCAGCATGTTTGTTTGGATAAATAATGGAGAGGATTTTTGAACAATGGAGAGAGGTTAGAACGATGCAGAGCTGGATAAACACTGAAGCTTCAGTGTCCACCACATGGCAGCCTGCGTGAGCATCGACTCTAGAGAGGAGGGAGACGGCTCTCTACAATGTTTGAATTTGGACTGCAGTGCCCATTTTAAACATCAGAGTTACACATTGCTCCTTTAATAGATTAAAGTGTGTCCGCTGAAAGTTCTTGTTTTTGTCACTGACGGGCTCTGATTGTTATTCTGAGCGTGTGGCAACATTTACCAGTCAGGTGAAATGACAGATTTTGTCACTGGAGTCTGATGCGTTTCCCTCTTCAACAAATGTTAGTGACAAAACAAGAACTAGTATACTGGATGCATTTTGATCTGGTTCTATTTCAACTCCGTTCATTACATCCTCAATCAATCAATCCTTATTTGTAAAGAGCCAATTCATGAAAAGTGTTATCATGAGGCGCTTTACAAAAGAGCACATGGGATAATATGCAGGAAGGATTTCTCCTTTGTATTCTCTCGTTCCTGTTGTTCACACTTCTCTCCGCTGAGGTGGAGGTCAGAGCAGGCCGTGCATGACTGAGGTGGTTGGTGGTTGTGGGACAACACAGTCGGATGGCGGGGGCTGGGCGTCAGGCGGTGATTGGTCTCCACAGACCTGCTGTTGTGCTTGCTTTGCTGAGTCATGTTAAATGTTTCCTCGTGTTTTAGCTAACCGTCCAGAAGCTCCTCGTCCGGTCAGGAAGACTGATGAAGATCATCTTCTGCGCCATGTTTTTCTCAGTCCCCTAGTTCTCAACCCCGCCCTAAAAAAACCTTTATACTGTCTCCCGTATGGTCCCTCAGTCCTGTTTGTTCGTCGCACTTTGTCAACATGTCTCATATAAACGTGCTTATTTATCAGTCAGTTTAATTCTAGCTCCCTGTTATTGTGTCACTTCTTGTTTGTACTCGTGTTAATAAAGGAAGGAAGAACTGCTTCACTTCATGCGTCTGTGCTTTGTTTTTTTTAACAAATGTTGACTTTACTGCAATAATGTGTTCTACAGGCTGTATGAGAGTTTAAGTGATTGTATCAGGCTACTTCCCACCTGGTTTGATTGTTATCAGGTTATTTAACAGGTGCTATTTCTCCACACATCCGTAACTATTTTTGACGGACAGCTCAGAAGGCCTTTTATTCTTTGCCAATTGCTTTCATTTGACCATTTTACACAAAGATCATGGCTGCTGTTACTTAAATATTACATACTGTCTTCCTCTTCAACCAGTTTCATCAAATTAAAGAACATTAATAAAACTAAGATTTTGCAAAACTTAAGGTTAAATTTCCACTTACGGTCTAATGCCGTCACCTGCAGATTAATTTATTTTTATTCATAATTTGTCTCACCCTAACTTTCAGTCAACCTAACGACAGGCTGAGAGCTGGAGCTGAGGCAGGTTTTAAGCCTCCTGACAAACCGTTACACCGCGCCAGGTCAGCTACACGCCTTATTGTGAATATATCCCTATACAGTCTAGAATAGAATTTAAAATCCTTCTTCTCACTTACAAAGCTCTAAATGGCCAGGCACCATCTTATCTTAAGGAGCTACTAGTGCCGTACTGTCCCTCGAGAGCGTTGCAGTCCTGGAGTGCAGGCCTGCTGGTGGTACCTACAGTCTCTAAGTGTACTATGGGGGGTAAAGCCTTCAGTTATCAGGCTCCTCTCCTCTGGAATCATCTTCCAGCCGGGGTCCGGGAGGCAGACACACTCTGTATTTTTAAGAGTAGACTTAAAACTTTCATTTTTGATAAATCTTATAGTCTATCCCTCTTCCTGTATCTTATCCCATCTCTTCCCCTATCCCTTTCCAAGCCTGGTGCAGTCTAGGCCTGTGAAGGCTGTTTCGTCATGAGCCGGGGATCCGGCCTGAAGATTTCTGCCTTTTAATAAGGCAGTTTTTTCAGGCTGGATCTTTGTAATATAGCATTAAGTAAGGTCTTTTACCTGCTTTTTGTAACATAACAATGAGTAAGGTCTTTTACCTGCTTTTTGTAAAGTGTCTTGAGATAACACTTGTTATGAGTTGATGCTATACAAATAAAATTCAATTGAATTGAATAACTCTTATCCTTCATCAAATCAAAACAGATGAGTCATCAAAAAATACAGTGTGTGCCGATGGAGATATGAGCTAATCAGACCTATTTGTTTTTTTTAACAAGGCTGTAAACATGTTCATCTCTGTTGTAAAAACAATGTGACTCATCGTGCTTCAGCAGCCAGCCTCTAGTGGACACTCAAGGAACTGCAGGATTTTGCACTTCATCATCGGCTTCATTTTTCAAC